TACCTCCCTGTCACTGATCGAGCTGGATTATTTAAAATTGGACAACTAGGAAAACGTCTCACCTCCAGGAACTTGGCTTTTTCATACACTTTGTCTTCTTCCTCTACGTCTTCCGCGCAATTAAATTGGAATCTCTTTAAATCGGACGTAACTATTTGAAAAAAAGGCAAGTAAAGCGAAAGTTAAATATGATCTCAGTTCCTCGTCCTGAGCTAATAACAGCAAACTTGCAAGATGTTTAGCAAAAAGCATCTTGTAAGGGCTTTGGAAGCATACCATCTCCTACTCTTACAATCACCCAGAGTGTTCTCTTTTCACTACTCATCCTCATATTTAAGTAAAGCAACGTTCAACAAGGCGAAAACCACACGAATTTTCTTGAAATTCTCCTCTTGTTTCGCTTTGTTGATTGTTGAGCCGATTGTTGACTGAAGGAAATAATGACCAGCGGTAATGCGCGCAAGAAGAAATTCATTGACTTTTACATGACGTATTGCAGATAATCCAATATGGCGGGTTCTTCTGATGGAGCAGCTACACAAACAGGCGCAATTATTGAGGTAAATTTTTATACCAAAACGAAATGGTGGACTGTTAAATTCATGCAATTTCTTTCTACTTATAGTATCTATTAATTTATCTCTGTATCAGCTCACTGATGAGGAAAGAGCAGTTCTTAAAGAATGTACAAGAAATAGTATTTTCTTCAGAGGTAACCTTATTAAACTAACTTTAGATGATTGTAAAAAGCTTATAAGCTTAAACTTATCATCCTATAAAAGATCTATGGTTCCTAATTCGATAACAGATACAGTAACAGTCACTACATGTACTTGGATATAATCATTGTGAAGTGTGAGATATATACCAGAAAAACCCCTTGTTCCCAGTTGCCCATAGGTAATTGCCCAGGCTCTGCCCTAGCCACGCCCAAGGTAGAAGGGTTAGGGTAAGGAATTTCAGTCGACTGGTGCATTGTGTGTAATCACCATAATTATGCAGAGATATAATTATTCTATTCCCTTGTTAACATTATGGTATCCACTTTAAGTGGTTTGACCACATGCCTGTATTTTTCCAGGTAACACTAACTTTACTTGGTATTCTTCACTGATGTTATTATTACTACCCCTTTTTGACTGTAAAAAAGTTGCAAAAATTTGTAACTCCCAGTTTATCCTCCAGGTAGTACCCATGTTGTTATTGTTTCCGGGATGGGTACTCCCAGAAAAATTGGGTGGGGGTGTGCAGCACACTTCCCAAAACCCTTACCCTATTTATAAACAAAATCTTCAATTTTCCCTACCCTATTTATTTCAAACCTGCCTTACAATTAGTTCCCCAGCTCAGAGCAATGTTAAATTGTCGTAAACATAATTTGTGAAGGGTTTTTGATCATGGTCTTATTGAAAATGATGAAAAAGTAGCTTCTTCTTAAAGACATATCAATTCAAGACTATAGTGCAAAAACCATACCCTGTTTATGACAAAAATGGCCAAAATCAATACTCTATTTATGACCAAAATGGCTGAAAGACCATACCGTTTCGGACCCCACATATCCCATACACCAGCCCCTAAAGGAGAGTTGGTCCCCCCCCCTCCCCCCGGTTATGCTGTCTAATAGGTGATATCACAATTATTGTTCATTTACAGGTTTTCCAGCAGGTATTATTTCTGTAGTTTTGATAAGCCAGGCAGTGAAAAGTGGTAAGTAAATTCAAACCTTGCATAATGTTCCCACTGGACTCGACTACCACATGCCACTTGCTAGTCTCCTTCACAGCTGTTGTTTGGGATTGTCAGGCTATGAGCTCCCTCGCCCAGCAATGGCTGTTTAAACCCAAACTGCAGTCCTTTCCTTTTGTTTGGACTGCAACCACTATGTTGCTTATCTGCAAAAATGTAGCAGTTGCTGGTAAGCCTTTTAAATGCTTCAAGATCACTTCAAACTTTGGACGCTTGTTATTATTCTTACATAATACTGTTTTTCCTTAAGCATGTCTGACCTGGCATGCTTTTTTTTTAGTTGGTGAAACGTTTTTCATAGTTTGTTGCCTGGGGTGTACCAAGTACAAAAGATAACATCACTGACACTTGGGGTTGCGATATCACAAAACTTTTGATTGGTGTAATTGGCAAATTTTGGTGTGGCTTACTGAGGAATGTATGAGTGAAGTTGTCACTGGGTAAAATGCACAAAAGAATGAGGTTTGGGTTTTAGTAGCCCATGCAACCCCACTATCAGCTCTGGCTGATCATTAAACATTCTTTGTACATTGGTTGTGACTCTGGTGGAATTTATCACATTTAACTCTACATATATCTCCAAGGGAAACTAGATTTTGTCCATTGGACAAGTTGATGTTTCAGTTGCAAGCTAGTTGCAGTCCAATACTGAAAATAGGAATACAGTCTTTTTGACTGGGTCTTGGAATCATTTGTGTTTATTTGTGAGAAGGAATCCCTGGTGACAAAACTCAGTTGGGGAGGTCAATGGTATGTACATACAGGCCTAGCAGGTTTGTATTATCTGGAAGTATGTGTGTCTGTATTTGTGCCTTTACTGGGCCATTCTAAATATTGGAATCACCTTACAACTGTACAATTGTTTGGTTTTTATGCTTTGAATTGATGAATGTTGCTTCACTCACTCACTCAATCCTCTTCGTTGCCGATGGAACATAGGTCATCCGCTAGTGCCCACCACCTGACCCTATTTTGAGCAGTGCGCTGCACTTCCTGCCACTTGAATGTTGTTTCAATGAAACTTAAATTTAGAAAAAAAAGCAGAGAAACACACAAGTTATCTATTTTGTCCAGTATCTACTGCACTTGTCTTCCTCACCTCCACAGATTATGCATTAAAGACTGAGCTGAAAAAAAAAAAACCTTGCTGGTTGCATTGCACTCATCATTAAGATCCGTGGGGAACGGGAATGGTACACTGGTGAGAGCACTTGCCCCCCACCAATGTGGCCCAGGTTGGATTCCACCCAGTGCCATGAGTGGGTGGAGTTTGTTGTTGGTTCTCCTCCTTGCTCCAAGGGTTTTTCACCGGGTTCTCCAGTTTTCCTTCTCCCACAGAAACTAACATCTCCAAATTCCAATTCGAACAGGATAGAGGACCTGCATTTAAACCAGCTAAGGCTGATGTGACTTCTTTTTAGCTCTAAATATTGTAATTTATGCGTCAGCCTTCTGATAAGTCCACAGTTATTCCAATCTACTCTGTCAAAAAATGCGAAACAAATTAATTTCAGTCAGTGCTTTAAATCCAAGGTACAATAAAGAGATTGCACCTCTTTCTTGGTCAGAGGGAGATGTGCTGTCTGAGATGTGGTGTCTTTGTTGACTTTCTAACACTTTTTCAACATCTTTGAACATCTTGTTTGTTGGTGAAATGATCAAAATGCTGTGTTGATATGTCTTTTTCAAGGACTGGGAAGGGAATGCCGCTTGATAGGAATCAAGGCCAAAGCGTCTCGGAGCAGAAAGATTTGAGTTTGCCAGGTTAGTTTTCAGACTGTAGGAACATATRAGGAGGCAAGTGAAGTGAAGTGAAGTGAAAGACTTTATTTAATGAGGGTGACCCGTGACAGTAACTTAAGTTACTGATAAACTTGGGGCCCTCAGCTTAGGGTCCCTAGGCAAGTGTGCGAATTTTATGTATTATGCTGTAAACAGGCTAGTCCTAAAAGAGACGTTTATGTTTGGTAAAACCCTTCTTTCTCGTAACAATAATTAATTTCTATGCCTACATATTACAAGAATACGGATCTGAAAAATGCGTGACTGTATTAATTGAATCAGTGAATGAATGTTTGAAAAAGTCCTATAATTCCTGGAATTTCTCATGACAGGAGACATCCGGTTTAGCGCGCCAGATGAAAGTCCCACTAGAGGTGACAACATCCCTCTTTCCATCAACACTGCAGCTTCACCGGTCGAACACAGGTCAAGCAGCGAAGACGTCCGTACACCTCCGAACTTGTACTTTGATGTTGATGAAGAAAAAGAGAACAAGCATACAAGTTACGAAGAACTGAGAAAGAAACACCGTGAAAGATGGACTCCACCCACCATGTCTTCAGTAACTACGAGAAGGATGGAACAGGTTAGCAAAGTTAATAACTTTTGGCAGAACTACACTTGTAAACTAATGCAAATGCTGCAATCTGATTGGCTGAGCCATCACGCATTATTAGCCATTGGTGTGGACTGTAGTGGTATGATGTGGTTCTCCAAAGTTTTCAAGGAACATTTCGAAACAAATGGAAAATCAAATTCCCGAGAATACAGAAAGGACATTTACGGTTTCTTGAGTTTGAAAACTCGAAATTGTTCACAGAAACTGTTGAGCGTGCGTATACAGCTGCACATGTCAAATGAAAATTCAGTCCACGCGATTTTTCTAAAGCGGGAAGTTTAATACTAAGATGAGAAATAATTGGAAACCGTTACTTGAAGCAAATTTCAGTTTTAGTTCGACTAAAACAATTAGATTATTCGCTCTCGATTTCTAGGGGCTGATAGTTGATTCGGCCTTCAGCCTCATCAACGAACGGTTTATGAGAACATCATCAGATAACTGCAAAATGTTTAGACCTCTTTTGAGTCTCCTCCACATAATCGTTATTTTGCTCAAAATCAGTGCAATATAATGCCTCGAATAACGTTAAACCTCGGTGTTGAATGGTCAAATGCAACTGATAGCTTGAATCATTATCAGCCTAGGCAAAGAAGAGAGGGTCAGCAGGACTCTGCACCAGGTTCCAGCGAAGCACCGCTGTCATGGTTTGACCAGGATAACACCAGTGACGACCGTAGTGGACAGGAAACTGGACAGCGGAGTAACACTCAACGGGAGAGGTCTTCATATAGGCAAGGTATCATTGAGGATGTACATAATTATGTATGATAGCTTTGTTTGTACCAGACATTTTGCTTCCTCTAGTTTCTAAGTTTGATCAAAATGGTTCGCAAGTAGTCACAAGTTAACTTTAGAAATGTGTGTCTCTGTGGACGTATTTTTTTTGTGGGTAAAGCCTTCTTAAGTCTACCGGAGTGAACTGCATTGTACTCTCAGGTGTGCTACCCTGACAAGTGAACGATGTGCACATCTTTTGTCGACTTTTGTGTTGTGATGGAGGCGGTAAGAAGCACGTTTTGCCTTGGCCCCGAAGATAAAGCGCAAGCAATGTCAACACAAGTTTACAATGCTACGCCACTGAAGTGTACATGAAGAAGACAGTGAAATGAAGAAAACAAAATGAAAGAAGAAGAATCAGCTGAAACATAAGCGATCGCTTAGCACAAGAGCGCGTAAAATGCCCTTAGAAATCATGAGTATCGTACATTTATCTCACACTCNTTTTTTTTCATCAGCATTCTTTGTCGTTACATCACACTTCATTACCAGCTTTACTAAATAGAGTTTTACACCAGAATATTACCTATCCCTTATGCCATGGATCGGCGAAAGCTTGGAACGTTAACTTAACTATATACAGAGTAGTTTAAAAGGCCTCACTCGAAAATAAAAAACAGTAGATTATATCCAATATGCTTCTCAAGAACAACATTCAACGCTAACAGGAACCAAAATATTTAGAATAAGATGCTTTGCCGGCTAAAACCTCAGTAAGAAAGTTTGGGAAAGACAGAGACAAGGTAGCGTCTATCTGCAGCGAACGAGTAACGGATAACGTTCAATGGCTGCTTGTTCTCATTAACATGTTCCTTTTTGCAGGGCCATCGCCCAGGAAGAACAAATATGGCGACGTCATGGAATGATTATGATGGTTTCTAGCTTGCTGGTTTCATAATTCCTGTTCCTGTGCTTCCAAGGCTTTTGATCAATTAATGTTAAAATTTTCTGGTCCTTTCCATTCCATTAAGAGACTAGACTCCTCCTCCAAATCATTCTAAGATCCTAACCGGTAGAGGTTGTGGAAACTGTAACAACGGCACAAAATCGTATGTTTCCATTCAACTCCGCAGGATTGCTAAACCTTTTATGTTTTCATGTATAGATGCAGGACATATTTTCTTTGTTAGGGGAATTTCCACTTGAATTACACAATGTTAGGTATTGGTGGTGGCCTTGTAAAATAAATAAACAAAATAAATGATATTAAAAATAAAGATCAGTGAGTGAAGACCAATAGGCCCTTTGCACGATCCGGTCACATGGTACAAAATTACGCATGCTGGTAAGCAAGTTCCGCAGTGGAACTTCCAAAACCAAGGTAGGTCCAGGTGGACTGGTACGAGTGGCATTGTTTTGGAAGTCCCACTGTGCAACTTGCTCACCAGCATGTGTGATTTTGTACCATGTGACCGGATCGTGCAAAGGGCCTATTGCGTCTGTGACTATGTACTATAGTGATTAATAAAGTCGATAACCACGAAGCTGAAGTCCGATATCGTTATCGATATCGTTAGACTGGACTATATCACAACCGGAGTTGGACGACATGAAGTTCTGTTACCAATTGATTATAACCGTTATGATCAATTATGATCAATTGTGATAACCATTTGTGATAGGCTATCACAAATGGCAGCAGTGACTTGTATGTGAAGTTTATATGAAATAATTCATATATGAACTGCGGTTGTAGATGAAAGTGAAGAATGATCATCGCAGTTAATTTTCCAATTTAAGCAATTGGAAAGAAGAAGCCTTGAAAAAATCAGGGCTTCAACGGGATTCGAACCCGTGACCTCCGCGATACCGGTGCGATGCTCTACCAACTGAGCTATGAAGCCACACATTGGGAGCGAGGTCAATTAATTGAGTTCATATCTTCCCGTGAGGAGTGAAATGATGTGAAGTTTATATGAAATAATTCATATATGAACTGCGGTTGTAGGTGAAAGTGAAGAATGATCATCGCAGTTAATTTTCCAATTTAAGCAATTGGAAAGAAGAAGCCTGAAAAAATCAGGGCTTCAACGGGATTTTTTTTCAGGCTTCTTCTTTCCAATTGCTTAAATTGGAAAATTAACTGCGATGATGATTCTTCACTTTCAGTGACTTGTATACTGGCATGGTCGCAGGTTCTAAAATAGTTAGGCGTGTGTGGAAGCCTATCAAGGCGCATGAAAAGCCCGTTGCCCAGAACATCCATATTTGTCAAATGTTTATATCAAACACGAGAGTCAGTGTTTCATCGGGATATTCAAACACCGAGAAGAGAGTTGAAAATACGACATGCAGCGGAGTATTTTTGACGAAATTCGAGATGTTTGGATAGCCGATGAAACACTGTCTCGAGTGTTTGATATATTTTCTCAATTCAAACAAAAACTAAGGAGTAAACGGAGAAGTAAAATCGTTAGAATCTGTGCTAATAGACCTTTCCCGCATTCCAACAAACAATGGCGCCAACTCGAGGTCAGGGTGGACAAAAATACAGAAGATGTATGAAAATGTCCACCCCAACCTCGCTCTGGTGCCATTGTTCGAACGCACTGAAGTCGAATGCGGGAAAGGTCTATTAAGACCGGGTATCCAAACCTCCTCCACGGTTGTGATTTTCTTTGTTTTAACTTGATGAATTATTAATGAGTTTGAGAAACATATTTCCTTGTTTGTTTGTTTGTTTGTTTGTTTGTTTGTTTGTTTGTTTGTTTTAGAACAGCGTTTCTCGCCAAAACAGCAAAACAGATTTAAAAAAAGAGCGTTTATTGCGTACAAGGTTACAATTTTTATCACAATTTAGGTAACTCGCCTCTCTCTTTTTGTCGAGCAGACGGACTAACAAGAGAGATAGGCCAGGGGAAGGGGCAAATAGTCACGAGGGGTACTCCGGGATTGGAGTAGAACTGATCAAACTAAACAAATCAAATCACGTGACAACCTCCAACCGAGGCTTCATTTATACATTAGATCCCAGTGCTTTTTCAAATCATCGCTAGCAATTGTTCATTCTAATGAAACACTGTCCAGTCTATTGGTAGAATGTCAAGTAAATGTTATACAAATGGTGGAGGATATCAAGTATATGTGAGAACAAGTTTAAGTCTCATTCCAAAGGTGCTGTGTTTTGCATAAAGCTCTATCACCCACTGGTGATTTATTCATGTAAGCGGAAAAGTTTTCCACTGGTGCCAAAACTCATCGAACGAACACATAAAAGTGCCCAGGTACCAGAATTTTGTTATTATAATTTCATAGCGCGTTTTCTATCTTTCATTTATATCTTTGTTTACCGGTAATTGACCTAATAAGTGATTTGTTTGGTCGGAGAAACAAATGCGTGGTGTCGATCGCAGAGGTGACCCTTTCTGCGCAATAGGACGTGTAAGTTTGCTTTCGCTTTTTACAAATTTTAATCAACCGTTTCCAGAACGTTTTGCTTCATTATTACATAACGTGTGACTACTATATTTTATATGTTAACTTGATTGTTCACAAATTGGTATTTTACTCCATAACAATAGACTTTCATTCAAAGAATTAATTTTTGTTGTCCATATTTTGTCATTTAAAACACGTTTTTGTAAAAACGAAGAACAGCGCATTGTTCCAAATTTACACGCACGATCTTAATTTGCCCAAACAACCAAATGATTCATTTATTTAAAAAAAATAACTATAGATGTGGGAGGCAAACAAATCATGTGACAAATGACGACTTCGAAGTCAATCGTTCTGACAGCGCTCATTTCATTGTGTCTACAGGCAGGTACGTATATGTAAGTTAAAATGATTATTGCTTTTTGGGGGCTCAAACCACTGTTTCCAACTCTTATTCTTGTTGTGCAGCAGATTTGACAAGTGTGCAATTTCCCTGGCCATGGGAGGAACTACCACATAGAGGGGTCGGGGATGCTTGTTGAAAAATGTTAATTTGGCCCCTAAAGGAGATCAGTCAGGCTTGGTTTGACCGCTAAAAGACACTTCCAAAACGCATTTCGTTTGTTATCGGTCTACACCAACAAAATAGTATAAAGAGTATTTTGGTTTCCTACTGTAAAACCCTAAGCGATACATTAACAAGACTTCGGCTTTTCGCACTGCACACCCTAACGAATCTGTAATTTAAACCCTTCAACACGCGAGTCCCTTCCGGTGATTTCACCGGCAAATCGAAGTTGAAGCTGAGTGGTCATATACAGTCATGCTCGTGTTAAGTTGATCGATTATTAGTAATTGGCTAAAACTGTTCAAATTGTTGCCATGTTTACGACGTGAAACATAGCAAGGATAGGCATATCTTGAGAGGATCTATCCGCAAACAATTGGTATTCAAGCCCAGTGTAAGAAGGGCAACACGACATGTCTAGTGGTAGGTTACTTTGCCACGTTTACTGAACTTCTGCTTGAATGTCTCGTCACAGAACTTTCACCAACAATGGCTGATGCCTCTATAGGCTCGACGGCCACTCCATATTCAACTTTTGAAACACCGTCCTCGACTGGATCGTCATCAGCCGCAACTCCTACTTCACTTCCATCTACCACAGGAGCGTCAACCGAGCCTTCCACAACTGAACGTCCCACCTCAAGCCTACCAGGTATTTTGTCTGATGCGCCTCATGTTTGGAACACTGTAAATACGTCATAAGTATATACATCAGTGGCACGCTCTGCAATCGCCTCGTATGCCACTTTATTTGTTTCTATCACATTTTGAAGTCATCAGTAATCAATTACTGGAATGGTAACATGGAATTTATTTAAACATGAAATCTATTTAAACATGGAATCTGTTTGTTAATCTTTCTGCCGCTTTTTAGTTTGAGAAGGCTACATTTTTAAATATACGTTTTCATTTAATGTAATTATCCAAGTGAGAACAACAGATAAAGAGCAGATGTAAAATCAATTGTGTTTTTTTCTCTGTTTTGCTTCTTTTTAGATACTGGAGGAGAGCCATTCTGCGGAGAAGGACTAAGTAAGCACGTCATTAGATGTAAAAGTTGATAAAAAAAATGACAAAATATTTTTAATACACCTCGTACAATTTGTTTTTCCATGGTTCCTTCAAATCCTCGTTTACAGTAATCGTGTGCAAACCATCAGGCCATTTTAAAAACAAAATAAATCATAGATCACACTCTAATTTACAGTACTACTGACCAGCGCGCTTCTAATCTTGTTATCTCTTGAAAATGACAGTAGAAATTGTCCAGAAATAAATTTTGATTTGGACCTTAGAGCTAGCCGCGGGGGATACTCCCAGAAAAGTTGGGTGGGGGTGTGCGGCCCACTTCAAAAAAACCCTTACCTTAATTATGACCAAAATCTGCGATTTTTGCTACCCTATTTATGGCCTGGCCAAAAATTTGACACCCTATTTATGACCGTTGCGACTGACAGAGTTGCTCTAAACATAAGTTATGAAGGGCTTTTGTTGACGGTCTTGTTAATAATGATAAAAAAGTAGCTTCTTCCAAGAAACATACTCAACTTAAGACTAGAGTGCTAAAACCATACCCTATTTAAGATCAAAATGGCCAAACTCGATATCCTATTGCTACCAGAACGGCTAAAAACCCTATCCATTGGGGCCGCACATACCTATATAGCCCATATAAGGGAGCAACCCCCCCCCGGGGGGGGGGCTAACTATCCTTTTCTTGCAGCATGTAGACCAGAATACCAACAACTAAAAATAAAAATAATTTTGCTTTCGACCCTAGAGCTAGCTATATTCCTCTTGCAGCATGTGGACCAGAATGCCAACTCCTTTGTCTCAACATGCATAACTATTACCGAGACCTCCACGGCTCTCCACCATTGGAATGCGATCCCGAACTTGCTAAATCCGCACAGGAGTGGACGGACCAACAAGCCGCGAAGGGCTACATGCACCACTCCAAATGGACAGACAAATTCACGGAGAGCATTTCTTGGAAAGGCTGGGGATGGGAAGGAATGGACGAAATGGAGGGAGCCATACCAGGGGCGGTGAGGAGCTGGTATTCTGAGATCAAGAACAACTATGATTACCAATCAGGTCGAGGATCTGGCGTTATCGGACATTTCCAAGCAGTGGTGTGGAAAGGAGAGACAAAGCTAGGCTGTGGGCTCAACATTAAACCTGATGATGGGACTTATGTCACTGCACATTACGCTCCGCCTTCTCATACGAGCATGAACAAGGAGAAAATTGCACCGAAAAATATAAAACCAAGAAAACAACCAGGTGAAATACACCACAAGGTGTTTCTGCTATTTGGGTTTGTTTTATTATCGAGTGTTGAATTAAGAGTGTCGCTGTTAATTTAGACAGACTGTCTTAAAATGTTAGCTAAAACTGATTTGTATTAAAGCGACCATGTAGTTGGAATATTTCGCTCGAAACGTCGATTTACATCTGGAGATCTAGAAAGGATACTTTCTTTTGACATGCATGATGTATATAAATTGATGCAACAGCTTGCATCAGCAATGATCATGCATAGCGGCCAAATAAAACACACGATAATTGAATTAATAACTATAAATGATTGATTGGTTAAATGAATTACATGTAGATGATGCCCGGTGTTGATGTTTTTTCAATCAATTGTTCTTAATTCTTATTGTCACTGCTTTTTATCACCAACAACACTGTCCTTTATCTCTCAGAGGCAGGTTGCGACGTTCCATCTGGCGACCGTGAGCCATGCAGCCCTAATCTCAAGGCACCGCTCGTAAACCCGGGAAGTTGTCTTCCTGAGAAGGCCTGCTGCTATGACGACATGTTTATGAGAGAGCGGTCAGTGAAATTCTATGAAGGCAAGGGACGTATTTGGTGTTTTAAGAAGCACAGGTAGACAAAGCTTACTGAACGACTGGGATTTAATAAAATGATTTAAAATAACCAAATCTTCATAGTTTTGCTTTCTTGAAATTCCTCTCTCCTGGTAGGTAAATAGTGTCGCACAGAGCGAGAAAGGTTACGAAACGGATGCTTGTATTGACAAGGCCCCTGACTTGTTATGTCTGCATGGCTCAAGGTCGTCAACCTGCCACTAAGAGATAAAGGACAGTGTTGTTGGTGATAAAAGTTATGTTTGATTTGATTGCTTGTATCAGGATAAAAATACCCATCGAGTTGTTCTACGCTCTGGACCCCGGAACCCGAAGTCTGATCATTTCACTGCCTAGAACCCTGATCGTTTTTAGCGGCAAAGCGCGGAGCCCTGCAAGTTTTGTTGCCGAACCCGGGGCCCAAAGTAATAAAAGTCAATCAATTCTAGTGCCCAGTTTTTGCTGTTTTTGGAGTATTGCGGTTCCTTTTAATTTCGGTGCACAGTGATAGTGGTTGTAAAATTTTGAACACCAAATGTTTTGACTCCCTCATTTGTACCGGGGTTTCTGGTACAATAATTCTTAAAACTCGGAAAGGGACACCACAGTTCCATCATCATGTTTAAACATGAGGCTCCAGCGGTGGCAGGCCTATTCCCCTCCTGGCCCTAAGTGATTCAAAATCGGTGTTGTTTACAACTAAAAGAAGAGATATTTAGAAGGTTTTGAACATATTTAAAACAATTTTTCTGATATTTAAAAGGGAATTTCTGGAAAGACGCGAAGCAATTTTACGCGATATTTGTGGAAAAGCCTATGGAATGGCAACGTGACCATTATTTTCCTACCATTTACTTCGTTTTCTGTTCGTTACGTTAACAAATGTAAGAAGCCTAAGCCGTGTATTACACTGTGATAAAAACACGACGGGCATTTGAGAACACGAGGGAAATGTAGAAAACACGAGCC